CGGCACAGCACTGTTGGTCTGCGTGGTGCCCGTCTGCGGCGCGGGCGGCTGCGTATCCGTCTCTGCACGCAGGCAGGGATGTTTCGGTGAGGGAGCCGTGGGAGTCAGAATGTAAATATTTCATAGTGAACCAGGAGGAAAAAAAAAAAAAGCAGAAAAAGTGTTACTACAGAAACGGATTTACATGGAGGAGGCTAAAAAAAAAGGAGGGAAAAAAAAAAGGCGAGTGATGTATTGCAGCCTTTCATGGTTTCTATGCCAACCACCTGCAGAGCCAATTCCACAACTGATGGGACGTGTCTGGCTTTCCCCAGCCAGACACGGGGCCAGGGCAGAGCCGGCACGAAGCCACCGCCACCGTGGCTGGGGACCCTTTCACGGCATCGCCGTGAGCCCACGCTGGCACTGCTACCCCAGCATCCCCCGAGGGACACAGCGCCGTCCCCGTGGGGGACAGAGCAGGGAGTCAGAAAGCACAGGCGGTCCCAGGTTAAACTGCACGCAGTGGGGCTGGGGGGATGGACGGATGGGTGGGATGTCTGTGGCCTGGGGTGCGCAGAGATGGGCGCAGGGCAGCCCCTGCTCCAGCTGGCACCCACCACAGCCCCCTCCTGCTGCCACAGAGGAGATGTCCCTGGGTCCTGTCCCCTCCCCGGTGGCATTTCCCACCATCCCTGTTCCCCTTCCACCCGGAGAGCACCCCAAATCCCCACTGCTGCGGCGTGTGGGGCCAGCAGCAGGAGGTTTCATGCTGCCATGATCCCTGCTCGGCTGCACCACCGTGCTGCCGGCTGCAGAGCCCCGCTCCCCATCCCGGGGTGCTCAAGGCTGCACCCCAGAGCACAAACATGGGTCCGGGGCTCGGTGCCACGCAGGGGCACGGGGTGCGGGGAGCCCCCAAAGCTCACCTGATGCTGAGGAGGGGTCTGGTTTTGTGCACCTGGACATCACACATGGGGCAGTATTTGTTCGTCTCCAGGTAGCGAACGATGCAGGTTTTGCAGACTGTGGGGAGAGACTCAGCGTGAGCAGACAGACGGGCAGACGAAGGGGCAGAGAGCCCAGCGAAGCACCCTGCACCCCCACACCGGCTCGGGGCTGGGATCCCTGCTCGCCCACCCTGGGCCAGCCTCATCCACACGGCATGGGACTGCAGCTCCATGAGGCAGCAACAGCCGACACAGGACAGGTTTGGGCACTGCGGGAGGGTCTTGGTGCGGCACAGCCACCCTTCCCAGGTGTTCAGGGCACCCCTGGGTGCAGCGCAGCCCTGACCAGGGGCCCAGGACACTCACAGGAGTGCAGACACTCCACGATGGTGGTGGCGTCTATGAAGTAGCCGCCGCACAAGGCACACATCAGGTGGGGGTTGAGCTCGGTGATCTTTATCCTGGTGGTCCTGTGCATTTTGGAGCAGCACCGCGGCAGATCCTCCCTGCAGGGAAACACCCGGGGCCACCCTTACCGGCCACTTCGTGGCAAGGATGAGACCTGCAGGACCCACTTCACCTTTTAACAAACAAATCCAGGGCAGGGTGGGGGTGCCTGGTGCTCCCCGTGACACACCACGCGTGTGAGCACCGGGGCAGCCCCAGCCCCACACCCTGCCAGCCCTGGGGGTGCACAAGCAGCACCCACACACCTCCCCATGCAGCCCCCCCGGCCCTGGGCACTGCCCAGCTCCCTCTGCCTCATGCCTGCATCTTCCTGGGGGTCCCCAAGTGGGTCCCCACCATGCCCAGACACCGCTGAGAGGGGACAAATCACCCCCATTAGCCAGCCCCTCGCCTGCAGCTCCCCGGGCTGTGCATGCACACGCGCGCACACACACACACACACACACAAAGTGTATTTTTGTTTTGTTCGATGGAAAAGGCATTTTCAGCCACCGCCTCACGGTTTCTATAGAAACTCCGGAGTCCAGTGTTGGCCACCTGCCCGCGGCCAGGAGCACCCACAGCACCTGCGCGTGTGGGTGTGCACAGCCGGGTGCGCACGCGGGGCACGGGCAGCGTCGTCCCCCGGCGCGGGGCGCAGACATGGGGGGGGTATCGCTGCCTGCCCGCTCCAGCACTTCCCCATTTACAATGGGAGACGGCAGAGCCCGAGCCTGAAATCGCTGCAGTTTTATTGTTTCCATGGCAACCCCGATACTTGGAGAGGAGCCAGAATATTATTACAACCATCCGAGGCGAGGGGGAGAGGGGAGAAGAAACCCTGGGTTTGTGTAAATGAGCGTGGGCGCGATGGCAGCGCCAGGGTGTGCCGACAGCAACACCCGTACGCACCCCCGCCCAGGGAGACACACACGTGTGTGTACACACATACTACACGTACGTACACATACCTCCTACACACACACACACACACAGGCAGGGGGACACACGCACACACCTGCACCCCTGAGGTACAGGCGCCTGCCCAGGGCCAGGCGTGGAGCGGTGTCACCGGCCGCCAGGCCCTTCGCTGACACCCAACGGCTGACAACCGGACACGAGACAGCCACCGAAGGCACAACGGCTGCGGTGTGGGCACCGCGACCGGGCGAGGAACTGGGTGAACCCCGCGCCCAGGGAGCAAACGGGGGTGCAGACGTGTGTGCATGCAGAGGGCTGTGTGTGCAAGGCCGGGGGGGGTTGCGTGAGCGGGTGCAGGGGTGTGCGCTCAGGGCTGCACACGGAGGGGTGTGCGCAAGTGGGTTTGTACAACACCGGGTCCGTGCCAGGCGCCTGCCCTGGGGAAGCCGCCCCGCGCTCCTGCTCGCTCCCTGTGGAGCTTCTCCCCAGCTCCAGCCTGGGTCTCTCATCTCATTCAGCCCTGCCCTGGAGTCCCCGGAGGCGGGTGTGCAGGGATGGGGACACCCTGGGGACCGGGATGCTGCAGGGATGGGGACACCCCAGGGATGGGGACGGTGCAGGGATGGGGACACCCCAGGGATGGGGATGACACGGGGATGGGGACCACGAGGACGCCCCTGTGCTGGAGGGGCAGGGGCCAAGCTGAGCCCCAGGGGCTCCTTGCAGAGAGGGCGCTGGGGGGCACCAGGGAAGCCCCGGGTATCCCCCAGGCGGAGGCACCGGGGTGCCCTGCCCCTCGCTGCCCCCGGGCAGGTG